TCTAGTACAATGACGAACAGTTTTACTTTTCTTTTTTTGAAAATTATATAATTTAATTGGGAAATGGAAAACACCCACATTTCTAGCTTGTGTAGAATGTATTACAGCTCTTATACCTCAACGCTTTTTAGCAGAATACCAAGACTGGGCTGAAAGCGCCAAGTTACCTCCTGACACAGTCTCCAGGTCCCTGTGGTGCCTTCTGAGACAAGAATGAAAGTTTCTATAGTGTCTGAGCTCATGTGGCAACATATTTCTAAGAGTAACTACAGTCTGGAGGCTGCTAAGACCACGCGCAATTTGGAAGAGTGTTTACACTTCCTCTTCTGTTTCTAAGGAACACACCAACAATGATTAAATTTATAACTTTCAAAAGTGCAAGAAACCTTGATGGTGAGTTTAAGAAATGTGCCCAAAGAACGGATTTCAAAAGGCTTTAAAAAATCCTGTCTAATCTTAGTATCAGAGGTAAACCAAAAACTCGCAATTTCCAGAAGACATCTAATCTGCCTTAATATTAAAATATTTACCATACTTCTTACAAAGATTTCATCTAGAATTTTACTTTTGGAAAAATGGAACCAGTGTCTCCTAACTATTGAAAGAATTTTAGCATCTAACTTACGGGTGACCGCTCAAGATAAACCTTGAAACCCCTTTATATTATACCACTCGGAACTCGGAACTCACCTGCTCACAGACATTTGTCCAATTTTTCTTTAAGACTTCAGGGGAGTGTTCACTTTCCCTTTGTTTAACAGAAGGAGCACTCCTCTGGTACGATTCAAATTCCCTTTGCGGAAGCTGGATGCATTTTGCAAGCTTACATTTTGCATTTGGAGTCAATTGCACAGTCTCCTCCTTGTCACAATTTTGCTTGAAAAGGAGCCTCCCGTTGGCAATGATGATGGAGGCAAACCTCTTGATGTCTTCCGGAACCACCCGCGCCACCATGACAAATGTCTCAAGGTCATCAGGGCTGTCTTGGACTTTGTCTGTCACAAGGGTTTCCAGGGACCAATTGCAGCGGTCCAGGCTTTCCTTTGTCTCAAGCAGGATCTGGTAGGAGTTGGAGATTGTGTGGAGCTGATCCCTAACTCTGGCCTGAAAGTTACTGTGGGTGAGGTTACAGGTGGTCCCGCAGACTCCACGGGCAAAATCCAGAAATTCTCTCAAAGATTCCTCTATGTGGTTGGTGGCCCTGTGAATGGCGCCGATGTTGGCCTCCAGATAGTCTCTGGACCTCCAGTTCCTACTGACGAAGAGCATCAGGCCCGAGATGGCGCTGGTCACCTTGTGCTGCAGAGCTGTGACTATCCCTTTGGCCAAGTCCAGGTCCCAGGACAGCTCTTTTGCGGACTCCTCTGAGCAGGAGCTGGACGAAGAGTCAGTGGATGTGAAGGAGCACGAGGAGACGACGCTGACTCTGCTGTCAGAACTGTTAATGGATAATCTGTCCGGCTCGGGGGAGGCCGATGTGACCTGTCTGGACAACCAGGAGGGATTACAGTCCGTGCAATTCTCGCAAGCTCCATTGGCTTTCCCCGGAGCTGTCACAGCCTGAGGGACAACTGGCACAGCTTTAGGGATATCATAAATGTTGGGCGTGGTGTTCTGCTCTTCCACTCGGGGAATCAGAAAGCTTGAAGGAACCCTGTAGTTGACACCTTTGTCCCTGGGTGTCGGAAAGCTATAAGAAGGAATTTCCGGAAGGCTGAGTTTTTCCTGCCCGGGCACATTTTTCTGCAGGTGTGGAGCCAGCGACCTTGCTGTGCTATTCAGAGGACTGTGGAGACTGGAAATATACCTGGGGGGCTCATGGGGCCCAGATGCTTCCACAAAGCTGGTTAGAGGTGCATTTCTTACATCAGCTTTTTCTGTAGACACTGGAGTGTCATAAATCCATTCTGATTTCTCAGGGTTTGGTAGTGTGTTGTAGCAGGCTCTTCTTAAGGCAACCATTGATATCACGGGAACACTCTGCCTCTGGGAAGAACCACACAAAGTCATCCAGTTTAGTCTCAACAAAAAGAGGTGTGAGTGGCTCATTTGACAAATGTATATTATACTGAGGACCTACTAAGTGCTGGGCACTGTGCATGTTGGTACCTCTTTTGTAAGGCCTTCCTTCCCTGAAAACCTAGGGCATACATATACTTATTGTATACATGTGACAGTGTCCAAGGCTAAACACGGGTTACACAGATTTCAAACGAAGGCACTTCTCCTATGTGCAGATAAAACCTTATTCTAACACAGCACACCCTGAGGTCTATAGTATAAGAAGCATTTATCTAAGGTCTCGCTCTGTGCCAAGCACTGCCCTGGGCCCTCTGCAAAGACTATCTGAACACTCGTAGTAAGTCTGTAATAGAAATGGAGGTACAGTGAAGTGAGAGGACCTCTCCAAACCACACAACTCGACCTGCTCCTGAACCCCACTGCAGGGAGGGGTCCCCAGTGAAATAAAGTCTGCTACTAGCAGCTGGCAGTCCTCATGGGGACCAAGCTATTAAATGTCCCAGAGGATGTTTAGGTTTTGTCATAGCCTCGCATTTCGGCATCTGGCCATACTTACACTCGGTTGGCTGCCCGGGGCACCGCCTCCTGCCTTTCGGGGGCTGGCGGGTATGTCGTATAACTGCTGCTTCACTGGCTCCTGGAGAAAGACCACAAAGGAGGACAATGTGGCCATTTCCTTCCTGATGGCCACCCATCACAAACTCGCCCACGCCAGCGATTTTTCCAAGCGACACCACAAGTCACTGAAGACTTGGGGGCTTTCGGTCATGATGCTGCTCTCTAGGGGGAATTTATATGCTGCTGTGGGTAGATTTTTTTTTTTAATTTTAATTTTTTTGAAATTCGTTTCAGGTGTACAACCCAGTGCAATAGTTATGCTTTTTACCCCTCAAAGTGACAACCCCTTTCCCCCAACGTGGGTAGATCTTTCAACAGGGGACTTTGTACATTAAAAAGATGCCTCTCAACGGAAGGTTGGGCACACGGTGGAGACAGTGCACAGCAGCTGCCCGAGTTAAACACGGGCGTCCTCTGCCTTCTGTAAGTTAGTCTTGTGATTGAATTAAAGAAGAATAAATGAGATTGGAACTTCATAGGTCCTCTGCCTTTGTTTGTTTTTCTCAGTAGAATTTTCCCTGGGCTTATTACTCGTGTGTTCACCCTGCAAATATTTACCGAGCGCCTACTAGACACGAAGCCAAATGACATGTATATACACCCAGAAATGAGCAAACGACATGGTGACTGAACAGATAATGTACATTTTTTTGTGCATGAATCAGAAAATACATGTATTAGGATGTGAAAGATAGTTTCCATGCTCTGAAGTAAGGTGAGAGAGCACCCAAACTGGTTTTGCAAAGAAAGAGAGGAAAAGATGGACTGTGGAGAGTGGGTTTCTTTGGAGAGAGTGGGCTGTGAGTTTTCTCCTGGCCCCTCCTCAGGTGGGGAACATGGTGGTGCTTTTCACTAACCCTCAAGAAAAGTGGGACCTTCCATGACGTGAGCTGTGCCACCTGGGCTTAGGGTCATAGTGCCCGGGGGCTAACGCCGGCTTGAGAAAAGTTAAGGGTGAGAATCTGATGACACAGCTGGTTGGGGATGGCCTGTTCTCAGGGCCAGGACGAGTATGAGGAATGTGCCGCCTTGGTCACAACATTTAAGGGGGCACAAAAAACAACTAAGTAATCAAGGTAAAAAATATTTTAGTGCAATGTTTTTAAAAGTCACAATTCATGTGAAAAAAAATCACGATGAACAAAATATCAGCATTTTAAATAAAAACGGGATCCACAGGACCAGGAGGAGGCGGAGGCGAGTGAGGTGAGTCCTGCAGCTGTGTCTTCATGTAAAACTTTGGGACCCAAGTGAGGCCTCACTTGCCTCATGTCGCCCCAGCCCCGCCTGTGCTCCTGGGGTCTATCCTGCCAAAGGGAGTGTGTGTGTTTTCCATGGACCAGACGTGGCTCACAGAAGCGATGCAGCAAGAGCCAGGCTGGAATGGGGAGGGAACCTCAGGAGGATGAGGCTGGAGATGGCTTGCCTGCCAGGAGCTAAGGGTGGAGCCTTCAGCCACCTGCCAGAGGAGAGCATTTGCCTCATGGAACTTGCAGGAAGGCCTCAGAAGGGAAAGGATCGGCTTGCAATACTCACTACTTCCACAGAGCCACACTGCAACATGTCCCAACAGAGCCCAGCGAGCAGGTGCTCCTACCTGTGCCCCGCCCCCCTCTCCCTGCCTGCCTCCTTCAGCTCTGCCGGAGCCCGAGACCCCCCCCAGGGAGGGAAGAGTAGAAACCTGAAGTGGGGAGCTGGCACAGCATCCAGCCAACCCTCAGTGCCTGCTGTAGGAGCCCCGAGGGCCAGCAAGCCGGGAAGGCAGGAGCTTTCGCTTTAGATGAAGTAGGAAGTCGGGTCCTTGCCTGGACCGGACATTTAACGTCCCTCACTGAGACTGGGGAGACGAACGTGACTTCTTATCACTTGTGAGTGACCAGAAAGTCACAGAGCTGGCCTGAAGTTTCATTTAAACTAGAGCCGTGGCGCTCAGCCCTGGCTGCA